ATGTGGCCGGAAAGTATGCTCATCATGCACTCCCTGAAACGTTTTGATGGTTGCGTGGATGGCATGGCCCGTTGGAGATGACCATTTTCCGAATAACAAGGACTGAGTCATGGAAGATGGGGCGAAACCATGATTGTTTCCGGGAAGGTGTCCTCATAAATCCTTCGAAAAAGGGCGGAGGGTGTGCAGGTGAATCGCCGCCACGTTTTGGAGGACTCCACGGGTGCAGCGGAGTCCGGCATGCTGCGGAGTCCGGCAGCGGCTTCGATGGACGGGTCGAGTAACAGCACGGTGGTCATCGTTTCACAACACATCTACCCAGTGGATACAGTTACCACCAGTTCGTAGGTCACCAGTGGTTCCACTATGTGTTCCACTCGCTTGAACCGTAGACCGAACGAGGGCCCCTGGTTCCTTATAGAACTTATTATTGTGGTCACTGGGACCTTTGTAAGAGGCGCCCGTGACATGGTAGGTGACTGTCGCGCCGTGTGCCGGGTGCTTTTGGCCGACAAATCCGGCGCCGCGGCGCCGCGGAAATCCAGGCGCCTTGCTGGTGGAGAAAGGCCACGGCTTGCAGGAGCTGCCACGCCCAAAGAAGGAGCAACTCTTTCGAAGGAGGCCGCTTGGAGATCACGTTGAACAAATCCCCGCCCTCCGCATGCTCCAAGACCAGCCAGACCTCCCAAGGGTTGCCAAACAGAAGGAACACAGCATGATCAACATGTTGATGTCGCTTCTGGTCTGGTGGCTTAATTCGAGTGTACCAACATCCAACAGCCATCTGGCTGCATCAGTTTGTCGTTTGTCGTGGAGACCCCTGAGCGGTTCAGAGCCTGTGGCGACCAAGTCGACATCTTCGAGTGAATGACACCAGTGACTGCAACATAAGTCGGGCTTGATGTTCATCGGGTATGGGTCAAGATATATATATATATATTGTTGGTCAATGTTTGAGAACATGGCGATGATTCTTTGGCGGTACAGAATCATATACGCTGACCCCACATCAAGGCATTTCAACTCACCTTTTTTGCCTTTATATAAATAATATGACTTTCAAAAAAAGGTTGATGCACCCTTTCCTCCTGTGCCTCTTGATCCATTTGGAGAGCAAAGAGCATTTCCAAGATGTACGCCGGCAGTTTCTCACACTGTCCTCGGACCATCGAGGTGAACCGAACCCGCGTCAGCCGTGGTATGCCCGGGTCAGCCGGTCAGCCGCGGTCCGTCACCCGACGTCCACGGGGTCTGCGGGGTTTCTAGAGGTTTTCGAAACCAATCCCTTGGTCTTGAGGGAACAAGGGCGGGTATCGGGCGGTTTTGACCTGTTGGCTATCGGAGCGTCGGCGGGTGGAGACCCAACCGAACCGAAGTCTGCTGGCACAGGCAATCATCACAAAGCCAACAGAAAATTAGATTCGTTAGATTGCTCACTTCGTGCCTCGAAATCCAATGATACAGTAATATAGCATCACCCAGAAAGGCAGTCAAATAATGTCCATAAATGTCCAGCAAATTCCCCGATCGCCTGCCTTTCTGACCACCCTGCAACAGATTCACCAGTTTATGCTCCATGTTCATTGTTCATCCATGTTCTCCCTTTTTTGCTGTTGGCTGTCCGTGCAGACCGAGCATCCAAGGTAGCTGAAGACCCCGATCTCCGCCAACACGTCCTCAGAGGACCGACTGATGCTCCGTTGGAACAGCTCTTGCTCGCTCGCTGGCTGTCCTCGCGACAGTGATGCTGCGCGGTGGACCAGCGCCCCTGTGAAATATGGGTATCTGGACACCCCTTGTACCCTCTCCTAGGGGGGCCTGGCAGGGTGCCTTGACCATTCCTCACATAGTCACAGTCTTTAGGTTCCAACACATCCCACCCCGCAGTCCCGCAAGCAAAAGACCTCACTCACATCAGCCAAGACCGCCACGCAGTGCACTCCTCACTGGCAATACACACACGACCACGAGACACGGTTGAGGCTCGGGGTCCTTGGTTGACTCGGACCCGCTCGGCCGGGAGCCGCTTCACCACCACCAACTTCTCACCTTCGCCGCTCCAGAGATGCAGCTCCACCTGGCCTGGACGATCCAGTGGGGTCAGCTCCGGTCAGTGGGGTCAGCGGTTGAAAACACTTTTTCATAGGCTTCCAACCACCATGAATGATAGGCTCGGCTTGACCGAACCAACTGGGGATTTTACACTACAAAACCAGGTCAACCATATGTTTAATGCTCCCGGAAGTCTTAAAAAGGGCTTCCAAGTGAGACATCCTGCTGTTTCGCCCTTGCATCTCCATCTGCAGGGTCTTGTGCTTTGGGCTCTCACACCAGTGCAGCTTGGCGAACGAGGTCAGCGTCGGCCACGCGAGGTGTGAGGCGTGGGTTTTTTCAGATGCGAGGAGCCAGGCGAAATGCCAAGTTGTTCTGTGGATTGGCACTTGGCGAAGGCGTTGTTTCAAAGGTAACTAAGCACCGACCTCAACATTGTTTCATGTTTCAAGAAGCCAATGACAGCAACACAAGACGAGGCTAGCAATTGAACCATGGTTCAAAATGTTAAGCTTCAGCAAAACCAAAAACTCATCAAGGTGCTCATGGGGCCTTCTGCCACTGGTGTGGGGTGAGATGAAGCAGGCGGCGCAAGACGAACGCGCGGGTCTTCCTTCAAAAGATGTGGGCCACTGTTCTGCGTACTTCGTTGGAATATGTTGGAATCCCTCATCGACCCACATTGACCCCAAGTCAACCCAACTGATCGGCAAAAAGTGGCAAATCCCCACCGGCCGTGTCCCAAAAAGACATCCCAGGCACCCTCTCCACGGCAACAGCTGCTGAGCTCTTTCCGCTTCGTGAAGGAACCCTTTCCGATCATCTCCTGCAGGGAGGCGTTGCCTTATAGCCCATCCATGCCCTGCCCATCCCATATGTACCACTAATTACTAATTACAGGTCCTTTAATAAGGTCTCTCAGCCTCTCTCAGACCTTCTGCCCAGAAATCGGCGCACGGGTTCGTTGGCTTCGGGCTTGGGACTTCATGGGAACGCTCTCAGAGCCATGTCTGAGGGATGAACGCTTGGTGATCAACTGGTGGATCAACCGGTCACCTGGACCATCTGACCATCTGGGGTGTGGCTGGAGATCCTCCTGCGCCCCGAAACACTAAAAGTGCAGGATCTCCGGCCAGCCACACCCAAACGGTCGGATGGCCCAGGTACAGGAGGTATGGGGTATGCTACAAACCCAAGCCCCGACCCTTGTAGAAGAACTGTTACAAACGACCACAAGATCACCGCCTTTCTCAGGGCCGAAGAGTGATGTGACATATTCGTTGAATGGGTGATTCGACATTCTTTCTGTGTCATTCTTTCCATCTTCCTTCGCTCCGGGTCCCTGGGTCGCCCTGGGTCCCTCCTTCGACCGGTCCCAATTCTCCAGATTCCAGACTCCTCAATGCGTGCGAAGTCATGGAAGAAGTTGAGATTGGTGCAGCGAGGGTCCACCAGCCCTGCACCAGTGGGACGCTCCGAGCTGCCTGTGCGGAAGGAGCAAATGCTGCGTGCTGAGTAGTGGGTTCCTTCCTCGAATAGAAAACATACACACCAAAACCACCACACCAACAAAACTTCGCTCTGGTTTGAGAACATGAACAGGTCCCTTTTGAGGAAGCCTGTGGTTTTTGCAGTCTTAAAATCCTATGGCAAGGAGGTTGGAGAGTTGGGAAGCATGGAGAGTTCTTCTGATTTTCCCAGACGCTCCAAAACAGCCCTTATAAGGGATTGGTTCGACCCCAGACCCCGCCCAGGGTTGTGTCTGGATTAATATAACATCTGATGGTCCTTTCCTAGCGTTGAACTAGGACCTTTTGCAAGCGCAAAAGGGGGAAAGATCGGCATGAAGGCGGTTTTTCAAGCGGCCTGCGGCCTGGCGGCATGTCCATTATATTGGGCCCTCCGTTTTCATGGACACCTCAGATCACTTCCAACCAAAAGGGCTATTAGACACCCCAGATCGGCCGCTCCGTGCACCCCCCAGAGATCGGCCGCTCCGTATCGCTCAGTCCACTGAGGGGGAAACCGGGAGTCTCCGGATTGGGGAACCGGATCGAAGCAAAAAAGAGGGGCCCCAAGTGCTTGGTGCACCACCAAACTGGCTCTTGACCAATACGTCCTTTGATCCTCGGCTTTGGATCCATCCTTTCATCCCCAAACCGCCGACGGTCTCCGACCGACGGCCTCCCGAGGTGGCTGAGGAGTAGCTGGTCCCACTGTCGGTGCTACATAGCTCCACGGGACGAACCTTCGCTTCCTCCGATCCGGCCCGGCACGCGTGACACGCGTCCGCGGCCAGGGCCATGGCGGACACGGTGCGGAGATTCGATGCGGAGGTTCGGTTGGGATGAAGGAAAAAAGCCACTTGAGATCGGCGATGCTGTTGGGGTGGTTCAGCAGTTGGGGCTGCAGCTACAAAGATTGCGGCAGATTTGCTTCACAGTTTTGGGTATTTCATCCATCCTTGTATCTTCTTGTCGTCAATCTCTCTCTTGCTCCGGAAGGCGCCTTTTTTTAAAACCCCTTCTATCACTGTCACGTTTCTGCCTCGTTGTCATGGAAGGCCTCAACAAGGCGAACCCACAAACCGGCGGAAGAGCACCCGTCTGACATCCGTGGGATCCGGGCCCGGCCGACGCAAGGCGATCCGAAGCGAGGCGACCAGCATCTGGGGCGGTTTTGAGTCGAACGAGTTCCGTCCCGTTTCATGTCACAAATTAGCCGCACGCAGCAAAAAAGCATCAGAACCGGACACACAAGACCAAGTGAACACCATACATGATCTTCAAGAAATATAGTTTACTGTATCAAATTCCTCTCCCAAAACATCCAACAGCAGTGTTTCGTGACCGCTGAAAGGTCTCACCCCCAGCCAACCCCACGCCGTTTGAAACCGGGCCGTGGCTCCACCGGCCAACTGGGCCGCACTCGTTCTTTCACACACCCGCCTGACAGAAGACCGTGCAAAAGATGATGGATGCTAAAGACCTCGGCGCCAGGTCAGTCCCACCGAGGGACCACCGTCCCCCCAAAGTCACGAATCGATACCCGAGGTCCGGGCGTCCGGCCCCTGGCGTCAAGTGGTCCGGGTCCGACCCCCCTGCGGTGGGCCGAGTTCGAGGTGCCCGAAGCAGATCCCGAAGCAGGATCAACCTCAAAACCACGGCAGGGGAGGTTGGCCAGGCGCCCAGCTGCGGCCTTCTACGACCCACCAAAAAGCTCCGGTGCACGGAGACTGGAGTACTCATCGTCCACTTCTCTCGCCAGTTTGGACGGTGCTGGGGTCCGGGCGTTCTGTAGTGGTTTCCAGTTTGGAGGTGTCTAGCAGGGGAGTTGGGGGTAGGGGTGCCATGGTAGCAGTTCAATTGGAGGTTCCTGGTCTTGTGTTGGGGTTCTCTGATTTCCTCCTGTCAACCCTAAGAATCCGGGCCCCTTCCGCAACACCATCCGGGTGGGGGCACCTTTTTTCGTTTTCTCTCTGAAACGTCAGTGGAGAAGGCCCGACCCGGCGCTGGGACGGAGTCTGAGGGCCGGACGCCCACCACAATGACGACCCACAGTCGCGCGCAATGAAGACAAAGGCCATATCGGTGTAGGAGTCGAGCTGAGGCCGGCATGGCAGGCGGCTGGCGGAGAACGTGGGGAAGGTCAAGGTCGACCTTAAGCAACATGAGGAAACCAAGCACTGAAGATTCAACTAAAATCGCAAAACAAATTTTACATCTTGTGGGACGTCAGAGGCCATTTCAGGGAGAACGGGGTTGATCGCTCGAACATGGAGAACGGGGACCATTGCGGACCTGAGCACGGAGGACTTTTGTGGAGAGTCTGAGTTGTTGACCATTGGACCGGGTTTGACCAAACTCGAACGACTTCAAAGGGCTTCTCGCGACTCGGTGGCACCAGGACCAGCGGCAGCCAGTCTCAGGCTCGACCAGCAAGGATTTCCTCCAAGCCAAGCTAGCATTGGGGGGGGGCGGGGTGGCCTGCCGTGGTCGCTCCGAGCGGACCGGCTTCCGGGCAATTTTTGGATGTCCATATATGTAATATTTGGATGTCAAGCTCCGAATCGCTCCGAATCGCTTCGCTCGAGGTTTTCGACCAGAAGAAAGGGGTCAGAAGGCTGCCCCACCTGAAAAGGATTCCCTCCGGGAGCGGAGCTAGCGACATCGGTGCAGTGCTTAGGGGAATCGGGATCTGCACACCCTTTAGCCTTCTGGGCAGAGAGGAAGGTCTGGCTGTTCGTTTGGCTCTGGCTGTGCCGATCATCGGGATGTTCCGATCAGGCAAACTGACCGGGATCCTTTCAAGTGGTGTTCCGGTTTCAGTCACAGGTTTCATCCTCATGCAGATACCGTGAATGACCGCTCAAACCCCTATAAATTGCACTTGGGTGCGGCCTTAATTTAGTACTGTACATGGATAACTCCTTCTTATAGTCTTGCAAGCAAAGGTTCATTACAAAGGATATTGAAATGGGAAGGAAAGACCGTTGGCTTTTTCCATCAAAGGACGACTGGTCATCAAAGGACGACTGTCATCATAGGACGAGTGCGTTCTCCGCTCTGCGCTCTCTCCTCGGTGTTTGAAGCGGTTCCGGGGAATCTGCCAATTCCGGCAACTGTTCCCCTTAATACGATCTCCTTTAAGGAAATGCACTGAGCGGAATGTATCAGCCCTTAAAGGAAATCGTGGGGGCTGATGGGGGTGGGGGGCTGATGATGCTTTCGGTGGAATTGCACTGAGTGCTGACCACACAAGCAGTGTTACTCGGCCGTTGCTTGTGAGAGCTTAGGGCTTACCATCAAAGCAACATGCTGCACCCAAGCTGTAAAAGTGTCAAGACGGTGGTTTGTCCAGCCAGGGACCAGATGCGTCACTTGAATCCTTGGGAAAGATGGAGGGACGAATCGGGACCGGACCACCGACCAAACGATTCAGCGGTCCGGGGTGGGGAACCGTCGGGCGTCGCCCGGAAGGTGCCGTCCTGGATCCCAACACGTCAATCCCCGAAACGGTCCCCAAATAGATCGAAACGGTGTCCAAACAAATAGAAAGGGTGTCGATAGATACTGTTCCTATTTGGAGGTGTACAGTATATCAATCTTACCGTCCCGAAAAGCACAACGACTGGGCCCATCGGCCTTCCACAGCACTGTGGAAGCCAAAGGTCTCCGCCAGCGTCGTTCCTGTCTGCGGTCTGCGGTCTATATAAGAGAGATACCAAGAGAGGTTAAGTGACCTTATAGGACCTTACTGATGTACCTATGGCATAGGCTAGTTCGGGTCCTTCAACCTCTGTTGGTACATAGACTACACAGTTCATAGAACCATAGAGGACAGTCATGTCACGTCTGAGTTTGGAGGGATTGCGGGGTGGAATTCGGCGGGGGCGATATTCAGAGAGTTGCTGTTTTTGTTGTTCTTTTTAACGAAGAAATCACAAGGCACAACACAAGACTAGCGCGGTGGTCACACGATTTTGTGATCGATCGAGTTTGTGTGATGGAAAGATGTCTTCTGCAAAAGACCATCTGCCCATAGCTGCATCTTCTGGAGCATCAGGTGCACTTTTTTGAAGTCGGAGAGAGGGAGGAACAAATTGCAGTTGCCAATTGTTCAAACAGAGAGACATAGCGAGAGAGAGAGAGAGATGGGTGGGAACGTAGTCTGGATGGCATGGGAAGTGGGGTTTCTTCTATCTAACAAAGCATGTTTGGATTCGGATGAGGATTTGACAACATGAATGGTGTGGGTCGGCCCGTTTCCCTTAGCCTGTATATATAAAGGAGCTTCAAAGGTTGACCACCCATGATCATCCCCGACTCGTACCGATAGCCATAGATTTGGTCTTTTAAGTTAAAATATGTCCTCACCACAAAGAGTGTGATTAGTTTGAAGAATTTGAACTCGTACATAATGTCATTGTATACTCTGTGTGCACATATATACATAGATATATGCACCATTTGCATCAACCCTGCCACACTTGAGTCCTACCTGATTGACCTGCAAACCTGGTGACATGGGTCTAGACCATCTATCAACAAAATAGATCCAAATAGTGCAAGACCTGAAAACGAAAAAAGTTCGGTGCTTGGCTAGGAGATTCAGTATCCCACCTCAGGTGCCTCCCTCTTGATCGTCTTGACCATGACCTTTGAAACGCCAAAATGACCCCTGGCCTGAAGCACATGGAGCTCGCCAGCCTTGCAAGAGAACAAATCCTACACACCAGCTAGGAAGTTTGACTGGGTCAACTTCTTTAGCGCGCTTGGTGTGTCTATCCTGAGGAAGGTTGAATCAAAATGGCTACAGCCTTGATCTTCTTTGAGGGGCTGACAAAGCTCCGATCAACTCCCTGTTTCTTATTTGGGGGTGGGTCATTTTACTGCAGTACACACAGAGACTCCAGAGATGATCCCAATAAACACACCAGGTCGTGTTGCCCACTTGACGATCCGGCCTTCAAGAGCCCAAGTCGTTGGACAATGGTCAACTCCATGAGCACCGCCTGAGGCACCGTGGCGCGTCTCCGCACCGCGGCTCGAATCGCCGCGCAGAAAAGGATGGCCGATGCTGTGAGGTGCGCGTCAGTTGCAACAGTCAGGCGACACCCATTTCGGCGGACTGAAGCTCACCAATGTTGAATTGATGTAATTTCGAGAATCAAGCGTATCTGGTCGGCGTCGTTCATTCGAACACGTTGGGGGGGGGGCATGTCTTTCAAAACATGGGGACGTGATAAACAAGCACGTGTATTTTGGGTGAACCACTCAGGGGGCGAAAGCCTTCTTCCCAGGATGTTTGGCTCATATTCCTGAGAACCACGCACCACCGATGGGGTGGATCAGCAAAATCAATATTTTGGTCTCGACCATTGGCCCCAGCTACAACTTCATCAGCTTCAAAGGACAAATAAACTTCATAGAGTCCGTCTGTGAGTTCTGTTGCATCCTACAATGGATGCCACCCCTGTTGTGTGACAAGAAGAGGTCCTCAGGACGGCTCAAGTCTGATTGTCAGGTGTGTTGAGTCTCTGTAGCAAGTACTCCTTCAAACCCCAAACACGCATCGAGTGCTCGACACATCAATGTTCCCTCTTCTATCAGGATCTTGCACCCAAAGTGGGACACCCCGAATCACCTCTAAGAGGCTATTTATAGACACCTCTTGGAAGGTCGTGGTACAAGTTCAGGTCATTATGCGACCTCATGCGACGGGACTCGACCTCATGCGACGGTCAAACTCCGACGTGGCCGCAGGCTGCTGACCCGACCCACAAGGAATTCGAGCTGCCACCCGTGTGTTGACAACTGCCCTGGCTCCCGACGAATGGATTCAAAATCATCTCAACCAGGCCATCACCCACAGCCACCGGCTCCGCAGCCCTCCATCCAGTTCCTCCCAACCAGCTCCGGCTCTCCCATCACCAGCGAACCGGTGCTCCCATCACCCCAACGGTTCGCCATACGCTGCGCCCCCCGACCATCACCAGCATCGCCAGCACCGTGCCGCCGTACCTCGGCGGCCCACGGCCATCACGGCAGACGAAGTCGGGCGAACCCGCAGACGTGTCAAAACCGGGGTTTTCCCATTCTTAGGCTACCTGGAGGGTATTGGCAAAAAAGAAGAGGTGTCTTTTTGCTGTCTTTTGACCCATCCACGTCGGGGATGCGGCTGCCTGGTCACGTGCGGGTTTCACATCAGCCTTGATGGGAAAGAGGTTGCGGCAAGTCGCCATTTCGCCCGTGTGCCAAGTCATGGGACACCGTCAACAGCGGCCATACCACCGCCGAGCACGGCCGAGCAATCCTGACCCCGGGCTCAGGTAGCTCGTGCACTGCGGCTCCCTAAACAGGAGTGAACAGGACTTTGGGCATGGTCTTCCCCAGTGGTGGTTGATATTTGTGTGGTGTGAATGCATGTATATTATATATATTAATATATTATATATATGTGTGTATGTATATGTAGGGGGTACCCTTGCACGAGCTATGAGTGGTGGTTCTCACACATGTCCAATTTGCCGTTCCGCTGTTCGTTTTTCTTCCCAAAAACCTGAGCCCCGCTGCAAGCACCAGGCCAGGTAGGGCATACTGGACTCACACCTGACAAGTCCGTCCAGTCCTGTCGATGGGAACCGACAGGCACGGAAACGCACCGGAGCGTCGAAACGTGACTGGGTGATGGGAGCAGTATATGGAACAATATAACTAGAAAGTGACTTGGAATAATAACAACATAACATATATATTATAACAATATAACGATATACGGAACAATAGAACAAGAGAGTAAACTGTGACTCTTGGAAAGCTAGCTATTGGCATTTAGGGTACCTACACAAAAAAATAATGGAAAAACCACATTCTGAAACCGTTCTTGAAACCGCCTTGATGTCTTTGCGGTCCGGTCCCGTCTCGACCCGAAGACGTGAACCTGTCGCCTCTGAAACGACCCGGAACGGCCCGGCCACGGGACCAACCGGAGGTGCTAGGCTCCCCCCAAAAAAATAATCCAAGTACAAGTACCACATGTGTGCACCTCTGCGGCGTATTCAAAGCCACCAACGCACTGCATCTGCGCCCGCGCAGATGAAGCCCGCCTGTGGTGGTCTAAGAAGACGGCAGGGACCCCTGCAATGGCCACCCACCATCCAAAGTACTGCAACGCCAGCCGCCGCAGGAACCTCAACGGCGCGGTCGTCTGTCGACCCGACCCCCCAAGCTGTATTCGTCAGGTCGAATCTGACAGGGAGTTTTCTCCAAATGTTCCAGTCGGTAAACCATCAACATCCAAAATAGGTTAAATCGGATGTTCTGGAGCTCTAGCTGTCCAAATGCGAGAGATCCTCCTTCCGCGGATCTCCATACCCCCATATTATGCCGCCATACCGCCTCAAACTGATGATCGGCCACGAAGTCACAAAAAACTATGCGCCCCACGCGCGGTAGCCGCCCACGTCGCTACAGAGTTCGTCCATGAAGGCTTTCGAGGAGACCTCCCGGCCTGGGCCTCAAGCGAGCGAATGCATGGAAGAGACTCATGGTATCCGAGACACAACCGGTGGGACTGGTACATATGATTACATATGCCTACATCATTCACCCCTGAAACCGCCCCAATGTATGGATTCATATGCCATACATGAGAGTGTCTGGGTATGGGGTTGGGTTTGTTGGGATTTGGGGGAGGGGGGCCGATCGCCTGCCATGGTCGTCTAGAGCGTCACTTGGGAGGTTCTTATACTGTTTGCCATTTTCGTGTAAGATCCATCTTTCGTATGGATCCATCTATGGTATATAATTAATATATATATATATATTCATCTTGCATTCTAGATCCATCTTTCAAAAGGAGAAACGGATAGACAGTGAAATCTCTTTTTTGGAAAACGGCGGTTTCTCGTTCTGGGATGGTCCAGGATTTGGTCCCGGCTTTCGCTGTTTCGAAGGCTATGGCTCAACCCCGCAGAGCCAAAGAAAGGAACCTGGTGTGCCCTAGCACCACAGAACATAAGGAGCTGATTGCCAAGACGTACTTTAGGACTTGGAGTGCTATTTTGGGGGTATGATATGGCCCTTGGACAAATGCAACACGGCTGTGTCCCTTTTTTGGGCACAAGAGAAGGGCCAACCTCCACGCCTCTTTCGGAACACCCTGTGTTGTGAGACCGACTACAAGGACCGGCTCTCTAAGTGTGGGATCACCACTGTCAGATCACTTGCTCCCACTCCAAGTGGCGCCGCACAGGGGGATTTTTGGGAGCACCGGGTTTGGAGCTCCAGGAATTGACCCACAGCCAAGTGTCAACTTCTCTTCCTTGTCGACCCATTTTTTCCAACCCACAACTGTCCAACCGGTCAAGCTGGTTAAGGTGGCAGCTCTCGATTTCAGCCCGTCCTTGGAAAACCAACGCCACCGTCCCTGACCGACTCTCCCAAACCGACTCTGCCCCACGCCTGTCCAGGCCTCGGACCGCCGACCGCGGGTAGCAATTCCGGATGGACGGCTGCATTCCGCGTCACCCGGACCCCAACTCGCCCCCTCGGTGTGGTGAAATCTTCCTGGGTGGGAACACGGCGCCGACGTCTTCCTCTCGGCGTTCGGAGAGAACGAACATGAACGAACCGCACGTCGACCGATTCGCTTCGCTTCGGGTTTCCGGTCGCGTTCGATGGGGAGTCGGAAGAGAGCAGAACAAGCGGAAGACATGGTCGAGACGTTCCAAACAAAGCTACGCAGCGGTGGTAAAATCAGAACATAGCTGCTTGGCAGCCGAGAAAATCCTTCTTGCAGGAGAGTCATGAGATGTCATAAGTCAATGAAGGGTACACCCAAACGATCACCCTACCCTCCTCGCATTTCTCGGCCACCTTGATCCCCTCGTTCGGTCGGTCTCGCGAAGCCGACCTTTCCGGTTCGCTTTACAGCCATGGAGCCATCGACGCTTCGACGTTCGTCACTGGTCACGAGGTCTTCAGAAGTCGACGCACTGATAGACCGATCAGTGCGATCTGCACCAGTTTCGGGTGCTGAACTTGGAGGTTCGGGGTGCCCGATCGTCACATCTGGATGAGACTTTCGCCACACCACCACCCTCCATGTGACCCCCGGTCTCATCGCCGGACAAATCCAGGGTTCAATGCGCTAGCGATGTAGTACCAATTGATATACCTCTCTGACCTCACATGACCGGTCGGACCGTGACCGTGACTGGAGGTTCTCAACATGAGGAGTATCCCCAGGCTCTGTTCAATTCAGTTCAACCAAACCAATGGGGTGTTCGGCAAGCAAGGGAAATTTGATGCTTGAGGGCACCGATTCAAGGGGTTCTTCTTGCAAGTTCTCTGGGCCGGAAGGAAGACTTGTTTGCGGGCCGAGGCAGTACTACCCCTGTGTTGTTTTCTACAGCTGGCTGCACTCCACTCTACACAGAACCATGCTCTTTCTGTAACATTGGAGGGTTTCTCATCTCTTTTCGGCCAAACATCTTGGGCCTTCCCCCGAAAATTCCAATGGGTAGGACCCAAGGTGGCTTCTCTATCGGCCGCCATGGCCTCCCTTCAGTCACCCGTCCGACGCCGAGGCGGGCGCGCACATGGCAATGGGCCAATGGACATCGGCCGATCAGCCTGGTGATGTGGATCCAGGATCCTCCAAAATCCAGGTGATTTGATGGTCAAATGGCTGGTTTCATGGCACCGAAGCCACACCAAACGTCCGTCCCATGCCCAACAAACGTCGGAAGCGGTTCATGTGATCGATCGGCGGTCCGATGTCCAGGTGCCATGACAGCCAAATAAGAAAACCCCTCTCATTATAGCAAGGAAGTGCTTGATTGATATATCTCCAATAACCGGCCTTTTGACTCACCGTGATCTAAAGTCGAAGACGTTTGGCATGAGAGAATGTTGCGGAAAGAAACCAACACTTACAGGTATAGACCAGCACCACCCAAAAGGTGGCTGTTAGATGGAAATAAGCATCTTCAGGGGGTCTATAAACCAACCTTTGGGTGGTGCCAGTATTTATATATATACATAATTACCTGTATACGTGTTGGGTTCTACGTATATGTATTACACAATAAACATATGGAAAATAAAACAAAACTCGTTTGGTGATACAAGGGATTCGGCGTTGGATTTGCAATTTCCCAGGGACACTTGGAGCGTGGATTAAGAACTATTGCTGGCTTAATTTTAAAAAGGACAAAGCGGTTCTCACAAGCCTGTGGCAATTTGGCCGTGGCTATTACCAAAAAAAATCATACTGTATTGGTACAGTACATAGAAGCGCCTGATGGAAATCTTACAAGCGAAGAACAGGCATCATCACATCGAAAAAAAAAAAGTTGAAGCGCTGCCCAGCGACTGAAAGCTCTTATTATTGCAACCCTCGTTTGGCTTCAATTGGATTCAATTGGTATTTAAATGGTGCTCTTTTGAAATCCAGACTTGTTCTTTTGCAGGAAATCCCGCAATTGAAGAGTCATAGGAAGAACAAGATCCTTCGATTTGGCACTTCCTCCGCTTGTGATACACTTGTACAAGTTAAGGAAACAATGTTTCTTACATAATTATATAATTGTGAGTTGAGCGCCGCCCAACTTGTTTCATGGTTGGCATGAGCTTTTGGCAGACCGCCGCTCACGCCTCCCTTTCGACCCAAACCGGCCACAGGGGCCTCTTGAGCCACTTAGGTGGCCACGCTCATGGAAAACAAGCTTTCACGTTCCGTATCGGCACTTCGAGCGGTCGCATACGCAAGGTGTGTTCACTTCCGTGTTTCCACATCTTCACATTGGTAGCGGAGCCTCCCAAAGAGGAGGCTCCCGCGGTGCGCCATGTCGGGCACTGGTTCGCCGACGCGGAGGGGAACCCCATCTTCCGCTGCAGCTGGTGCATCGGCGAACGGCGCCGGCGGTGGGCCCAGGGACCTCAAGGACAACTATGTGCCGCGCTTCGAGAATTCGACCACCACCTACAAAGAATGGCGGCGCAGAGTACTGTTGTACTCGAGGAAGCTGGAGCTTCAGGGACGCAAGTCCGAGGTAGCCCTCAACGTCCTAGCTGCTCTTGAAGGACCAAGCTGGACGCAGTGCGAGGACCTCGACCTCAAGGAGCTCGAATCCGAGAATGGCCTGGACATCCTGCTCAAGAGACTGGACAGGCAATGGGCATTCGACGATAAGGTGGAGATGCCCAACAGCTTCGATGCCTTCTTCTTCAAGCTCAAAAGGCGTCAACACCAGACCCTACTGGACTACACGACCGAGTTCCACCAGGTGTTGCGCCAGATCACCAAGCACAAGCTGGACCTTCCTGAAGAGGTCACAGGATGGATGATGCTCAAAAGAGCTGGACTCACGAGAGAACAGGAGCAAATGGTTCAGACTCAGATTGGGTCGACATTGACCCTTGGTGCGGTGGAACAATCCCTGTTCCTCCTCTTCGGCCAGGACTACCAGCAGGTCCACATCCCTCATCATCTCCGCCGACAACAGCAGCTCTCTCGCTGGAAGAGACCTCAGTCCGTCCACATGGCCTGGGACGAGGACATTGCTGATGAGCTCTATGACATTGAAGAGTCCTACTTCCAGGACGCGGATGATGACCCTGACTACCAGGAGACAGAAGAATGGTTTGAGCCCGAGATCCCAGAGGGAACCTACTATGAAGAGTCCGCTGAGGATCCTGAGCACTTCTTCGACACCGATGAGTTCGACGAGATCTACTCCACCTACGTGGACTCCAAACAGCGGCTCAACCAGTTGAGACAAAGCAGAGGATTCTACCCTGTTGTCGCCGTTGTTGATGGCAAGGGCCAAGCACCATAAAAAGGACCCTCCAAGGGCGGCAAATCCAAGAACAAGTCCAAGGGCAAGGGCACTTCATCCAAGGGCTTCTCAAAAGGCCCAACTGGGAAGAATCGAGCCAAAGCAGCACTGACATGCCTACGCTGCGGAAAGCAAGGGCACTTCGCAGCAAACTGTCCTTCAGCTGGCCAATCCTCTTCGCCAGCAAAGAAGCGGCCGGTTGATCTCGAGGACCCGATGATCCACATGGTCATGGCCGTTGAACCTGACCTCAACTCCCTCGACTATGGCGAGATCACGGCTGAGGAAGACATCTTCTACGACGTGGAGGACGCCTATGCTGAAGGCGAGGCCTTGGTCAGAGCTGGCGGCTGGCTGACTGCCGAGCCGGACACCTGCATCCAAGATCAGGGAGCAAGTTCCTTTCTGATCGGCACTGAGTATGCCTTGCGCTACTTCAAATGGCTCGAGATGATCGGCTACCCCATGAACAGCCTGATCTTCAAGCGCTGCGACAAGTCCTTCAAGTTCGGAGGAGACGCCTCCGGGCATGCGAGATGGATGGTGGAACTTCCAGTCCACATCGCGGGACACTCCGGTCGCATCCAAGCCTACATCATCTACGGTGCCACTCCTATGCTCTTTGGACGACCACTTCTAGAGGCACTTCAAGCCGAAGTCAACTTCGGAGCTTCAAAGATGCGACTACTTCATCAAGAATGGCATGACATTCCTCGCGTTCGACAAGGTGCAATGCTCCTTCGCCTGGCGGCGAATGTGAGCGACCCACAAGCCTTCGAGTCACCTGTCTTCGACTTCCGCTGCGAGGATGACCATTCAGAGAAGACCAACCTGAACGAGTTCCTGGACGACTTGAACGCCCATGAACGATACTTTGAGATGACCACCGAGGTCAAGACCTACTTCGCCTCCGAGCCCAACCTCATCCCTGAGGAGACCTTCATGGCAGCAGATGATCACGATGATCGAGCCCCGCTTCTGCCTGGAGAGACAGTCAAGACCCTCGAGCAGCTTCAAAAGACCATGTCATGGATTGAAGCCCAACTCCAGGAAACCGAGAAGCACGTCCAACAAGAGATCCTCCATGCTCGCGACCAAGGTCAGCATCGACGAAGAAAGCTGATCTGGGAGGTCTATGTTGGCGAGGGCAAGATCACGAGTCTCCTGCAGGCCCATGGTGATGTGGAGGTGATGAGATTTGGCCTCCGTGACGGCTGGGATTTCAGCCGAGCAAACCACAGAAAACAACTGCTGCGGTTGTGTGATGACCTTGAGCCAGATGAGATCTACATGTCCCCGAAGTGCACGCTCTGGTCACGTATGCAGCAGATCAACATCACCAATGAGCAGCAAGCGGCTGATCTTGCAGAACGCCGAGAGGTTGATGCCGAGACCCACCTCACCATGTGCAAGAAGCTCTACCTCAAGCAAGTTCGCCGCGGCTCTCATGCTCACATTGAGCATCCACGCCTTAGCCTGGCCTGGGAGACCAAACAGCTGAGAAGCTTGCCTGGCCACAAGGCAATCTTCGATCAGTGTGCCTATGGTGCAACTACCCTCAATGACGATGGCTATGAGATGCCCATCCTCAAGACCACCCGCATCCAGACCACAAAATGGGCTATGTTTGAGATCATGTCCAAGCGGTGCAACGGACAGCATGTTCATCAGCGCCTTGAAGGACGCAATCGATGCAAACGAGCTGAGAACTATCAGGAGGAGATGGCTGCACATCTGGCCCGAGCACTACTTCTTGATGAAGAACTTCATGAACAGGTCTATGCAGTGACCGAAGCAACCGCTCCCCTCACGGGTGCTCTCAGAAAGCTGGCCATCGCCCACGGTGCAGAAGCAGCTCGCATTGCACAGCGCCTTCATCGGAACCTTGGACACCCTCGCAAAGATGTCCTGCTTAACACCCTGAAAAGCAGGAACTGCAGTCCACAGGTCCTGGCCGCGGTTCAAGATCTTGAATGCCCCTTCTGTGAGGCACATGCAGTCAAGAAGGGAACTGCACCTGGACATCTTGATCGCCCCACTGAGTTCAACGCCCAACTTCAAGCTGACGTTCTCTGGCTCGACCTCGACGAAGTTGGAGCTGTTCGTGAGCCTGGAAAGCGACAGAAAGCTCGCAAGATCGCCATCCTGGTCATGGTTGACGTTGCAACCAGATATATGGCAGCTCGCACCATCATGGATGAGAAAGGACCCACACTCCAGAAAGCCCTAGAACGTGCTTGGGTTCAACATCATGGACCACCACGACAACTCTATGTGGATGAGGGCACTGGCTGGGCATCAGATGCCACCATGCAATGGTGCGAGAACAACGACATCGAGATCCGCATTTCTCCTGGACAGGCGCACACTCGCACCTCCATTGTTGAGAGAAGACACCAGATCGTGCGCAAAGCTGTTTCGATCTTCATGATGGAGAATGACCTCACCGGACTCGATGGAGTGCACACGGCATTGTCCTGGGTCATACCTGCTTTGAACAGCAGCACTTTCGTCAACGGCTATACGCCTACTCAGCTCGCTCTTGGCCGTGAACCTGCACTTCCTGGACGTCTCTCAGACGAGCGAACAAGCCCGCTTCAGCTTCAGCTGACTGAGCAGGAGAAACTCCACAAACGACTCCAAATGAAGTTCGCTGCACAGAGTGCTTGTGGCAAAGCCGAGATTGACGTCAAGCTGAGAAGAGCCTTGTTGCGACGCTTCACAGGAAAAGATGAAGAACTCCTTCCTGGCGAACGCTGCTACTACTGGCGGGACTTCCCGGACAAAGCCCACACGATTCGCTGGCGCGGACCAGCAGTTGTTGTAGCTGTTGAGCGCAACCCAGATACCGGGACCATCGCTGTGTACTGGATTGCACGTGGAACGGTGCTCCTTCGTGCTGGAGTTCAACACGTTCGGAAGATGGTCAGCGACAGTGGACAACTTGGTGCAGCTCAACGAGCCCAACAAGCTCTGGAGAATTTGAGGCAGAGAAGGGCAGTCAGAATCATCGACTTGCGCAAGGCCAACAAGCGCTCAATTGATGAGGTGGACCCCGAACTGTCCGACTACGCTCCTTCCATTGCTGAAGAACCACCTGCCCCAGTGACTATGTCTTCATCTGGACTACCTGAAGGAGTGCAACGAGCATTCGATCGCTCTATGCAAGAAGCAATTCAGTCACGGGCAGCTGAACGACCGTCGGTTCTACCTGCTCCTGATCCTCCTGAAGATCCCTCAACAGAACCATTGGAGCCACAGCCGGAAGAGCGGCAGCCTTATGAAAGACATCCCGAACTACCAGAACTAGATGATGATGACTTTGAAGAGCCAATGGGCGAACCGGCACACATGGAAACACCACGTGTTGATGCCGAGCCTCCGACGAGTCTTCCAGATCCAGCTGATCTACCCGTTCCTGAGGACCATGATCTGGATTCTCCAAAGGCTGAACCTCCTTCAAGGCCTGAAGTGGAAACTTCTTCATCGTCAATGCCCGCACCTATGGCAGTTGATCCTCTCTATGCACCACCACCATCCGAAAGTTTCCAAGATCGTCGTCGACGGTTCGATCAACAGGAGACCATATGGACTCGCAAGAAAGCCAGAACTGCCGAGAGTGACATCGACATCAGTCTTCATGGCTATGACATGGCAAGGTCAACACCTCTCCCATCTGGCTGGACCTATGATGAAAAGAACAATGAGTTCATCCTGGGTGAAACACAAGACTGGTGGAGCTATGAGGACGGCTTCCTTGTGCGCAACCATGTTTGGGGAAGAAACACCACCTACGAGCCTGAAGAGTTCCCCATTGATGCCTCCTTTCTGCAAACAACCACCGGCCTGACACTGCAACAAGGTTCAAGGACCATCTATGTCAACGCCAAGGAGCAGCAGCACTTCCACGAGCACTGGACCGGCAAGACCCTGTATCCACTGACCTCAGAAGGTGCAGAGAAGACCGGACTCCTCTACATCGGAGACCTCACGGACAAGCTTGCCCGCTGCAAAACGCTCAGAGGCCGTGGACATATTTGGCAGGCCGTTGGAGCCGGCAGTCCCAAGAAGAAGCACGTCAAAGAGAGCGCTGATCTCAATGAGCGCAAGATGACCCTAGAGGATCGCCTCTCATTCCTTGAAGGCAAGAAGGCAGAGCTCATGAGCATCTTCGAGAATGGCGTCTGGGAGATTGAGCTTGATCCGCAGGCAGTGGATCACAACCGGGTCATGCGCGCCCGCTTCGTGTTGAAATGGGCTGCTGATGGAAAGGGTGGCCTCAAGGCCAAAGCACGGCTAGTACTTCAAGGATTCTCCGATCCTGACCTACTTCAGGGACAACTTGACACCTCCTCACCGACTTTGTCAAGAAGTTCACGACAGGTGCTCATCGCTCTTTCAGAGGTGCTCTCCTGGGAACGTTGGACTGCGGACGTGGCGACCGCCTTCCTCCAGGGAGATCCGCAGGAGCGAGTTCTATGGGCACGCATCCCAAAAGATGCATGTGAACTCATTGGAGTACCACCAGGTACGCTTATGAGGTTGATCAAACCCCTGTACGGTCAAGCTGATGCCCCAAGGCAATGGTTCGCTGTGGCCCGACGTCGACTACTTCAACTTGGGTTCCAAGCTCATCCACTGGACCAATGCCTCTACATGTTCTTCGATGAGAACAAGGTCCTGACAGCTTTGGTTGGAATCCACGTCGACGATCTTTTTGGTTGCGGCCTGACTACATCATCCACCTACCAGGAGCTGACCAAGCAGCTCAAAGCCTCCTTCAACTTCAAGCATTGGACGGTGGAAGGTGAACGCCCACTTGAGTTCTGCGGATGTCAACTCACCCGTGCGGCCACTGAGTCTGTGATGACGCAGGCTGACTACCTCAAGACCATCAAGCCCATGACCTGCGCGGACAACGAGGCCGACAGAGAGTTGAGTTCCAAGGAACAGAGTTCACTAAGGGCACTACTTGGTGCACTTCAATGGCCGGCAACCCAAACATCACCCCACCTGTGCGCTTCAGTGTCGCTCTTGTGTGGAGAAGTCACCACCTCGACGGTCAATGTGGCCCAGCAGGCAAACAAAACCCTACGTTTCGCCAAGAACAACAGTGACGCTGGCTTGGTGTTCCGTCCACTGGGTGGCTCGCTGGACGACCTATGTATGGTGGCCATGAGTGATGCAGCATGGGGGGTGAGACACAACAATGAAAGCCAAGGCGGCTACCTGGTACTTCTATGTCACAAGTCAGTGCTTGAGGACAATACCCTCGACCACGACTATGTCATCCTGGACTGGAGGAGTTTCAAGCTTCCACGGATCAGCCGATCCTCCTTGAACGCTGAGAGCCAAGCATGCTCAGCTGCCATGGACGCCCTGGAGTACCTCCTCATCTTCTGGGAAGGATGCCTCAACCACGACTTCCAGCTGCGTCAGGTCAGCGAGCTCAAGCCTTCACTACCTTCGGCACTGGTGGTGGACGCTAAGGCCCTCTACGACAGCCTCAAGGCGGAAACCCCAAGTCTCCAAGGAGACAAAAGAACAAAGATAGAGGTCATGGTGACCAAGCAGAAAATGCTGTGCATGAGCACCAAGCTCAGATGGGTCAGCTCAGAGATCCAACTGGCTGACGGGGTTACCAAAACCTCGGCACGGCAGCTGTTCGCAGACCGACTGCGAAGCCACAAGATCTCCCTCAAGTCCGACATGACCTTCCAGGCAGCAAAGAAGAAGACCCTGGCTGAGAGACAGGCAAACGCTCGCAAATATGCGATCAGCAGGACAGGCAATCACAACAGCCTGGCCTATCTCATCCTGACCTCGCAGATGGCCATGGTTCAGGCCTACCAGCCTTCGTTCGAGATGGCCCTGGACTTTGTCTTCTCGCCCGAGATGACCCTCACCCTGCTCATCATCCTGATGACCTATGTGGGATGGAACCTGGGCAGGAAATGGTCTACAAGGACCTCAACGGCCACGAGAACCTGCACGGAGACATGGACTATGACAACTTCGAGCTCTTCAACAAGGGACTTTGGAACACAGGTCGAGACCTTTGAGGAAAAGAATGTGTTCGGCCTCCTTCGAGCTGAAGTTGACCGACTCCGACAAGACCTCAGAGACTCCGACTCCTACAACGCCGAGCTCAAGGACAAGTGCGAGGAGCTGGAGAATGAAAATGATGAACTGGAGAGACAGGTTGACGACCTGGTGACCATGCGAGACTTCCTCAGCGGCGAGATTGGCGAGCTGGATGGGAAGTACAAGGACATGAGAATGAAATGGCAAAGAGCCGTCCAGACCCTGATGAATATGCAGCATCGGTTGCAAACAAGTCCGCTGGCCCAAGTGGTGTGGCACACACGGTACGGCAACAAGTACCACCTGGATCCTGAATGTCAAGGGCTAGCAAATGCCGACAAGAGCAACCTGAAGACGCTGGACTACTGCAGCTTTTGCGCTTCTCGCGAAAGCGAATGGTGGCGGCAGTTCACTGACGTGGACAGGCGCGAGACGCCCATGGACTCTCACCAACAACCACCGGTGTGAGTTGAGCGCCGCCCAACTTGTTTCATGGTTGGCATGAGCTTTTGGCAGACCGCCGCTCACGCCTCCCTTTCGACCCAAACCGGCCACAGGGGCCTCTTGAGCCACTTAGGTGGCCACGCTCATGGAAAACAAGCTTTCACGTTCCGTATCGGCACTTCGAGCGGTCGCATACGCAAGGTGTGTTCACTTCCGTGTTTCCACATCTTCACAATAATAGTTAAGAGGTCATTGGGAGCCCAAACGGATGAGTACGGCGATGGGAACCAGACTTGGGGTCATGGTCGGCCCCATGAAACCCCTGTACAGGCTACAGGAACCAAGGGGGTAGATATTATCAAATCAGTCAAATCCTCATACGTTCAGTAAACCTTCCAAACGTTCAACCATCGCACCCCGCCTAAGCCAAGTACCTTCGTCATGGCCATTTTCGGAGCGCTCCAGTGTTTCCGCCACGCGCTGTGGGAGTCGTAGGATGGCGGGGTGTTGGAGGTGGTCCTTGATATGCCTTGATCCTCTTAGGGGAGCGTATTGCGGCGCATGGGTCAGGGGGGTTTCATGCGAGCCCAAGAAGTTCCAGAAAACTGCCAGCTGTTTGATCATCAGTCCATGTTGAAACTGGGTTTCGAACAACTCCCAGAACTTCTGTGTTGACTCGGAACTTACCCTTTACCATCTATTTACCTTAGCTGGAAGTCGAATCCTCCACTACCAAATTCAGGGTGCACGCGTGAAACTTAGACTCTCAGAGACGTGCCTGTCATTCTTTCTGTCATTCTTTTGCAGCACCTGGATCTTGGCTCTTCAAAGACATCCTAGGTACCCTGTCACAAAAGCTGCTGATGAGCACTTATGGGCATTTCGCTCAGACGTTCTTGCGGCCGGACGAGCTGATGGTTTTTCTCCCTTGGGAGATGTCGGATGATTTGCTGCATCGTAGGATATCAGAAGCAGGCTTATGCAGGTTTCCATATATATATATAGTTCTTTTTCGGGCGCGAAGAAATGCCCGTCTCCATGAGCTCGGGAAGTGTGGACTCACAACTCCACCGGATCATTTCAGTGCAAGTCTTTGCAGCGCTTGCATGACTCAACTTGCCTTCGTTCTGCTTGACTCAACGATTCACTCCATCAGCTTGAGGAAGAAGCGGGGCGAAGACGGAACGGTCAGTTGACGCAGGGCTCTTCACAATTCCGTTTGCTAGGTACAGCATTGGGTGCAAATTGATGGTTCATGTTCCTTTCATTTCCATAAACGCGCATCGAAATCACAACTGAGGGGCATACAAACATCATCAAACATCCAAACATCAACACCAACAACTCATTCTCGTCCTGGGGTCGTCCTTCGGTATCCAAACAGGTCAGAGCTGAACATCAAACTCGAAACATGTTGCAACTGGCCAGCTTCCCAACTGCAGGCTGTAGGCTGTCAACCACATTGGGTGGAGCGAGGTTTCATTCAGAAACACCCCGCCGGGTGACGCAAGCGTATAACCACGAGCCACTCCACCCGACCTTTGAGAAAGTGTTCCCAGTAGTCCAAAATCGAGAATCAACTCCCTCACACACAATGAGGAAAAGCGCAGCAGTTGGACCAGCACCATCATGCAGTCACATCCTACAGTCGAGGCATCAGTGAAATCTACATACTATGAATACTCTGATGTTTGCTTAAGTATGCCAGGGATGTTGTTTGGTCTATGAGCGATGTCTGCTGCTATATGACCTAATCCACGGAACTACTCCGGGTATCAACTAACAGATATAGTCCCCCTTGGCATGGCACACCCCTTTTGAATTCTTTGTTGGGGGAGATCCCTCAGGGCACTTCGCACATCTTGGCACATCCACGAGTCAAGTCTGACTGGCGTCTTTTCCTCTGCATCCGCCACATCCATCTCCACATCCGGGGGGCCAGGAAGCACCTGTCAACAACGATACCTCGATGCGATCGCACCTTTTGAAGCACAAACAAGAATCCGACTGCGCTCCAGTCTCAAATACCTAGAAGCCACTCTGGCAGCCTTACTTTACGGAACACTGACAAGAAAACAAATCAGTGAAAGCTGGAGAAAGGCAGAAGAAGCTGCCAGTGCTACTAGATGCTCTTAGGCCCCAAGTGAGAGAATGCGAGCGGGCAAGTCTTTTGAATTTACCCGCCTATAGACCCAGAGTTGTTCCATGTTTTTCTCCTGTGGTTTTGAAGTTATGATGGTTTTTCTGCAGTGTTCACACCCTTTTGCCCCTTTGGCTGTGAGAAAACGGAGACTTCCCTCCTCCGCCCACCAAACCCGTTGACCCGGACTGCCCGTTGAACGGAACAACACGCCTGGCAGGGCCCGTGGCGCCGCAGCACGTTCCGCTGCAGCGCCCGATAGGGTGCCTCTTCGGGCAGGGCGAAGCGATGTTCGGACCACCTTGCGTTTGAGGTGTCGAATGGTGTCAATGTCCAGAGCCACCGGACGTACGGACGTGATTCGGAGTGTTCCAAAACCGACGAACGGAAGGTCCTGGTGTATGGCATCCTGACGTTCTCCTACATGGGGGTGGTTTTTCAAGGGATCAACGTAAATATATTGTAGTATAATATATCCATACCAGGACCCTCCGAAAACGAGGCTGGTGAATGGTCTAGCCACTTCCTATGTAAAGGATCTCCAGAAAGTCATATTAGAACAACCATGTGTTTCTGGTTGTTTGGGTTTTCAGGTGTATACTTATTTGTATACATGGAGGACACCCAAAAAGAAGAAGGAACACGAAGGGCCTAGCGTCTTCGGTCTATTTTTGCCGGTGTCCTGCTTTTCTTGTTGCCCGATGGTCAGTCTTGTGTGTTTTTGGAACCTGGACGATCCTGGACAGGTTGACGGATCCATCTCATTGGTCGTGGTACACACGTTTCCAGTGACAATTCCCACCCTGTTTCAGCGTCGTTCGGCGCAGTGTGTCCTTCGCCCCCTCCCCTTGGCCCTTTGGCACCTCGGACACGCAGCACAGCCCTCCCTTCACGCCCATGACGCTGGCGAAGTTCGCCAAATCGTGCGGAGACCTCCACGCAGCTCGGCATTGCAGCTCGGCCCCTCGGTGATTGGGAGTGTTCAAAATCCACCGGGCGAACGGAAGGTCCTAGAAATAAGACTATATTCCCGCAGCCCAGAAGTCCGAATTCCTTGGGCCGTCCCCGAATTCGACCTCCCCCCCAAAAAAAAACACATGGTCATGTTCTTCGGGTCGGCCGTCGCCACCGTCGCCACCGTCACCATCGCCGCCACCGTCACGCCGTGTGCCTCATCTCCATGGGATCCAAAGCAGCGCTGCTCATGATCACATGCCTCGCTGAACAAACACGTCGACCGCCGCCGGACGGGAGGCCGGACGGTGCTCACCGCGCCGTCGCGGGGGTTCTGCACGTCACCGGGCGCCCAGAGCGCGAGAACGGAGTCTGTTTTGGTCCGGTTGTGGTGCGAAGAAAACCAGGTCACCAGTCTTCAAGGCCGGCAGGTCCAGCAAAAAAAAGAAACGTGGATGTCGTCATATGAGCGATGGAACATATTTCCGTTAAGTTATCACATGGGCCTTCCTTACCTCGTTCTCCAATCTCGCATCGTTTTTGGGGTGTAATATTCTATATTGTTTTTATCATCTTTCCGGCAGTGTAGTCGACCTACAAGATTTGGTTCCTTGAACCTGGCGGGTGTCCCAGCTGTGTGCTTCCAGTTGCCGATCCTCAGCATGTGTCCATTTCGTTGCGCCAAAAAAAAAGGCCTACTGTACATGCATGCATGTCAATACCCCTCCCAAAAACAGCATTGTTGCCTCCAACTACCTACAACCATATCCTTACTTTTTCCTCTACGTCTTTCAGCGCACGAACGGCCGATCGTCCTGTGGGACCATGTGGGACCGTCGTCGTCCTGGCCTCCCGCGCGTCGCGTGCAAGACGAACTCCACGTTAGTCAGCATGGCCCGCCGTCGGCCTCCGGCGGAAACGGGCTCGAAGCTGGAGAAAGGAATTGATGTTGATCATATATCGCCACTCTCCCCAGAAGGAGCATGAAACTTGAAAGGTTCCCAAACTATAGATCGGCCAAGTACATGACCAAACTTCTTTTGTAGATCCATTGGCTTTGGAAAAATGGTCCAGGAAACGTGTCGAATCGCACAACCACTGGCCCAGCCAAGCCAAAACTGCCAGTCATGCACCAGTCAGCCTGCATCGCGAAGTGCGGGTCCCAGTTCGATCCTCAGCTGCAGCGAGTGTCTTTTGTTTCCTTCAATATGTGCCCGTCCTTCGAACCACCAAACGATGGGAAGGAATTGGACAAAGACATGAAACGCCTGGCCCCAAACTGAGGTGACAGATGGTGAAAGCTTCAGTTCACCTTCGGGTTCGCCTTGAGTCCTCGGAGTAGAGATATAGAGAAGTCCAAACAGGGGGTTCTCTGGAATGATGGCGAGTGAGTTCACCGCCCGTTTGGTAGCTGGATGTGATCGAATTGGGCGCCATTTTCCCCATGTCACGATGAACCATGGATGATTTTCAAGGGAGGTACAAGTACTATCCGTCAACTTTCGACCTGCACAGCATCGGGACTCTCGTGCGGGTTGAACCCCCACAAAGAAAAGAACACGCGAAAACCCCCACGCACCTGGGTACCGTACCGGCACAATGGCTGCTCGCAAAGGGCGAGAAGGCTGAAAGGCAAAAAAATGACACTGGATATTGCTAGCCACTCGACCGAAGATGCAGAAACTGCCAAAATCCTGTGCCGGGATCACCGCCCAGCGAAGCTTTCTTTCCCTCCATCCGAGGCTGCTTCGATCCCAGGTCCCCAAAAAACACCCATCTTCCTCCCAAGGAGTCCGCGTCTGGGTTGGGGATGTCTTTTTGTTCGGCCCGTTCTCACCGCAGCGGCAACGACTGGGGAGACACACTCGATGAGTCCTCCACGGCCTCACACTCGATGGTTCAAGATCTCTGAGAACCGATTGGCCAGAAGAGGTGCTTACCATATAGTTCAATTCAAAAGGCAGAAGATCTGCACAGGAGCAAAGATTGTTATATTGACGATACCAGCACCACCCAAAGGGTGGTTTATAGACCCCACTGAAGATGTAAGTGTCCATCCAATAACCACCCATTCAAAGGTGTAAATATAGTGACCTCTTGGATCTTCGACCAACACAATTTTGGAGTCAAATCCAATTGCTCGTGATCGACCATGTCTTCTCAGCTTCGAACTTGTGAAGGCCAGAAGGTCCTGGAGGGAAGGAAGTTCCACACAATGCAGCTGCCAAGTGGATGTATTGAAAACGACTTCCAATACACATTGAATGGACATTTACAGTATACATTCATCAATCTGTCCCATTCTTTCCCACCGATTTTGGGGTCTACTCCTGCCAAATGTACTAAATTGGATCTGAACTGAATTCCTCTTTTCAGTAGGGGTTTGTCAGATCTGTGCATGCATCCTTCGTGCCTTCGTTCCCCTGCGCGAAAAGACCATGTCACAAAGATCCATGTGCAGCGATTGCTGGGGAGTGGGTGTATATTACAATAATACCAGCATAGACCCCAAACAGCTTCAAAATGATTCGCTTAGACCAATATTAGTCAAAAAACGATTTCTTGGTACGCCCTACCTTCACCCCCAAGAGCAAACTGCTTCATCAATGAATTTTTGTCGGCATTGACATCGCTATTTGTTCGGCCACACTCCTCTCCAGTAAGCCGGGCCACAGAGACCAG